GACCTTCCAGAAATTTGAGGGTCTTGGGGGGATGGGGTGGGGGGAGGATGTTCTGTACCCCCCCAGGAGGGCACAGGCAGCAGGGGAGGGGGAGGCCAAGGTCCACCGTGGTGGGGAGGCAGGATGGGGCTGTGGTGGCAGGAGGGGAGCCCCCCCCAAAGTGTGGGGCCGTGGGATGGAGCAGGGGGGCAATGGCCAGGTGTCTCACGGCTGCGGATGGGGGGTGGAAGCGCTGACCCCCACGGCGAGGAGGATGAGTGTCTCCTCAGGGAAGAAGGTGTGTGTGACGGCGTCCGGGATGCAGCGGGGGCCTGGGGAGATGGAGACTCATCCCCGTGGAGCAGGTGGGGCCGGACGGGCTCATGGCAGCAAAGAGTTTGTCTAAAGACGCAGCCCTTTGTCTGGCAGCACACTTCTCACTTCTGGGCTTGGGTCGTGGGGTTTTTTGTGTGTTCTTGGCTGAAAATTGACCTCGCCAGCCCCTTCAAGCTGCCGGTGTCTGTGCCGGTGGCTGCTGTCGGACCGGGCCAGGCGGGAGCGCTCCTGGAGACCGGCCCCGGTGCTGGGGACACCCCCGGACCCCCCGTTCCTCTCTCCCCGTGTCTGTGATCCCGCCTCGCCCCGGGGGCTGCGCTGAGGAGGGGTCTGTCTGCGCCGGTCTCTGAAAATGGGAACGGCTCAGAAACGCGGCCAAAGGAGATTCTCTCCCTCAAATTCCCAAGGATGCTGCGGCCATGGTGGGACACGGGGTGGGACATGGAGCAGGACATGGAGAGGGACATGGAGAGGGACATGGGGCAGGACGTGGAGTGGGATGTGGAGCGGGATGTGGAGCGGGACATGCAGAGGGACACGGAATGGGACACGGAGCAGGGTGCACGGTGAGCACCAGGTGCAACCAGGGCGTGGGGCAGCCCCAGCACCCACGGTGGGACCAGGGGCAGTGGGTGCCGTGGCCACCACGGGGGTGGCAGAGTGGGAAGCGGCCCCTGGCACTCATCTGCCACGGAGCGGCCACCATGGCCACCGCAGCCAACCAGGAGCCGGGGACACGCGGCTGCAGCAGCAGCAGCCAATCGGGATGGGGAGAGATGAGGCTGCTGCTGCCTCGGCCAATCAGGATGTGGAGATATGAAACTGCAGCAGGCTCAGCCAATCAGGATGTGGAGACCCGAGGCTGCAGCAGGCTCAGCCAATCAGGATGTGGAGACCCGAGGCTGCAGCAGGCTCAGCCAATCAGGATGTGGAGACCCGAGGCTGCAGCAGGCTCAGCCAATCAGCATGCTGGACCGGGAGCCTCCACAGCCTCTTGCAGCAGAGGAACCTGCAGAGGCCTCAGCCAATCAGAGGTGGCGGAGGTGAAGCCTAGCCAATCACTGTCCCCCTGCGGAGGCCCAGCCAATCGCTGTCCCTCAGTGGAGGCCGGTGCCTCCCGCGTCCCAGAGGCCGTAGTGGCAGGACGTTCCTATGGGGTGCTGTGGCTGGACCCCGCAGGCAGTGGGGCAGGGGGACGGTGGGGCGGTGCCGCTGACCTCTGCCCCCACCGGTGACCTCTGCCCCCACCGGTGACCTCTGACCCCGCCCCATGCAGGCCGGGGCCGCTGGCCCTTTAAGAGAGGGGCGTGGACTGCCGCCCGGCCACGCCCCCCGCTGGCGCCCGGCAGCTCCCGGGGCTGCTGCGCCCCCTGGCGGCGGCGGCGTGGAGCGTCGTAGAAGGGGCTCTGAGCGCCCCCCCCCCCCCCCCCCACCCCCGCCCCCCCGCCCCATACACACACACACACACACACACATATACACACACACATACATACGTACATACATACATACATACACACACTCCCGGCGCGCGCTCATTGGCC